CCCTGTAGTACCTTGCAGTACTCTGTAGTACGCTGCAGTACTCTGTATTACCTTGCAGTCCTCTGTATTACCTTGCAGTACTCTGTTGCACCCTGCAGTACTCTGTTGTACCTGCAGTACCCTGAAATACTCTGTAGTACCTGCAGTACTCTGTTGCACGCTGCAGTACTCTGTTGTACCTGCAGTACTCTGTAGTACCCTGCAGTACTCTGTAGTACCCTGCAGTACTCTGTAGTACCTGCAGTACTCTGTAGTACCTGCAGTACTCTGTTGTACCTGCAGTACTCTGTAGTACCTGCAGTACTCTGTAGTACCCTGCAGTACTTACCGTTTGATGTAGCCAATGGTGTCTTGCGGTTTGACCTGAGCTGTTCTCTCTGTGTCGTTGAGGAACTTCAGTCGGACCACCATGTTCCTCTGAGAGGATGAAGGCTCTCCTCCTCCTCGGCTCCTCACCCCGCCTCCCTCAGACGCTCCTACATCTGGGGAGGCATCAGTGGGCGGAGCTTCTGATGTCAAACTGTCACTCACAAAACTGGTAGCTGGAGAAGAGGAGACAGAGTGGCTGTCCAGGTGGGAGGAAGCATTTCTCTCTAAGGGGGCGGAGCTCAACAGGTGTCCTGGAGGCTCAGAGGTGCGGGTGGAGATCCAGGCGAGCAGCAGCACGATCAGCAGCAGGAGGGAGCCGAAGAGCAGCGTGACCTCATCTCCAACACCTTCGATCAGAGCCATCGCCCACGAAAAAACACCTGTACAGAGGGGCGGAGCTTGAAATACAACTTGTATAGTAGGGGTTGCACGACTTCATATTTTTTAAAGTCGACTTCAACATGATAAAAGTCGAGTTGACGTCGACAAGTCGCTGAGACGTCAATGGAACTCAAGACGCCATATTTCTGTTGTTTTGATACAACAGAGAACAGAACATACTGTTCTAGAACTGCGTCGCTCCAGGTGTCTGCATGTTGGAGCAGCTGCTACTTTCATTCTGAGATTTTGCTTTTGGAAACTTTAGTTCCTCGTTTCTGGATGTAAATCACATTTTTTGGATGGTTGTTTCCTCTGGTGTCAGATGCTGTGCAGCTGGAAGGATTTTTACTGAAACTTTTTAGTTTTGGACATTTGTTATGATGCGTAACCATGACAACAATGTTGTTTTTGTTTGTTTATTTGTTTTTTTATACAACCAGGAGCTGCTGATAAACATCTCAAATGCTCAAATAATATCTCAGCTACAGCCCCAAATCTCGAATGAGTTGAAAAGGAGGGGCCGTGGATGCATTCCCGTCTCTCTGCTGGCTGTGCTCGAGTGCCTGACCTCTGAGATCCAGGAACTAGCAGGAAACACTAGGGCTGTATACTGAACTCGGTTCTTTTATGGTACCGACTGAACTGCTTTGGTTGGTGTATGTTAGGAATGCGAAATATATACGGTACACGGTAGAAACTATAATTTAGCCTATGATCGAGA